AGCCTGTGGACCACCCTAGCCTGTGGACCACCCTAGCCTGTGGACCACCCTAGCCTGAGGACGACCCTAGCCTGTGGACCACCCTAGCCTGAGGACGACCCTAGCCTGTGGACCACCCTAGCCTGAGGACGACCCTAGGCTGTGGACCACCCTAGCCTGAGGACGACCCTAGCCTGTGGACCACCCTAGCCTGAGGACGACCCTAGCCTGTGGACCACCCTAGCCTGAGGACGACCCTAGCCTGTGGACCACCCTAGCCTGAGGACGACCCTAGGCTGTGGACGACCCTAGGCTGTGAGGATGGGTTCTCACGATAGGTTGTGAGCAGTTATGAGGATGGGTTCTTACGATAGGTTGTGAGCAGTTATGAGGATGGGTTCTTGCGATAGTTTGTGAGCAGTTATGAGGATGGGTTCCTACGTTAGGTTGTGAGCAGTTATGTGTTGTGAGGTTGGATATTGTGAGAATGTTTTATGAGGCGTTTCATTAAGAATGTGTTGTGAGAGTGCATTATGAGGATGAGTTATGAGGAGGAGCTGGCAATAGAATAAGCGATTCAGATCCCCTCACAAAAGACTGTTTATTACGGCAAACCTTCCATTAGTATCACCTCACATCACCATTAGTATCACCTCACATCACCATTAGTATCACCTCACATCACCATTAGTATCACCTCACATCACCATTAGTATCACCTCACATCACCATTAGTATCACCTCACATCACCATTAGTATCACCTCACATCACCATTAGTATCACCTCACATCACCATTAGTATCACCTCACATCACCATTAGTATCACCTCACATCACCATTAGTATCACCTCACATCACCATTAGTATCACCTCACATCACCATTAGTATCAGCTCACATCACCATTAGTATCACCTCACATCACCATTAGTATCACCTCACATCAACTGGGAACCCACTGACATTCAACACATTTTGCAACATTCCACACAACACTTCAGTGACCAAACTATGTGTCTCATTTTCTGCCCCCCATGTCTCATTTTCCGCCCCCCATGTCTCATTCTCTGCCCCCCATGTCTCATTTTCTGCCCCCCATGTCTCATTTTCTGCCCCCCATGTCTCATTTTCTGCCCCCCATGTCTCATTTTCCGCCCCCCATGTCTCATTTTCTGCCCCCATGTCTCATTTTCTGCCCCCATGTCTCATTTTCCGCCCCCCATGTCTCATTTTCTGCCCCCCATGTCTCATTTTCTGCCCCCCATGTCTCATTTTCCGCCCCCCATGTCTCATTTTCTGCCCCCCATGTCTCATTTTCCGCCCCCCATGTCTCATTTTCTGCCCCCCCTGTCTCATTTTCTGCCCCCCATGTCTCATTTTCTGCCCCCATGTCTCATTTTCCGCCCCCCATGTCACATTTTCTGCCCCCATGTCTCATTTTCCGCCCCCCATGTCTCATTTTCTGCCCCCCATGTCTCATTTTCTGCCCCCCATGTCTCATTTTCTGCCCCCCATGTCTCATTTTCTGCCCCCCTGTCTCATTTTCCGCCCCCCATGTCTCCTTTTCTGGCCCCCATGTCTCATTTTCTGCCTCCTGTCTCATTTTCTGCCCCCCATGTCTCATTTTCTGCCCCCCATGTCTCATTTTCTGCCCCCCATGTCTCATTTTCTGCCCCCCATGTCTCATTTTCTGCCCCCCATGTCTCATTTTCTGCCCCCATGTCTCATTTTCTGCCCCCATGTCTCATTTTCTGCCCCCATGTCTCATTTTCCGCCCCCCATGTCTCCTTTTCTGCCCCCCATTTCTCATTTTCTGCCCCCATGTCTCATTTTCTGCCCCCATGTCTCATTTCCGCCCCCCATGTCTCATTTTCTGCCCCCCATATCTGATTTTCTGCCCCCCATGCCTCATTTTCTGCCCACATGTCTCATTTTCCGCCCCCCATGTCTCATTTTCTGCCCCCCATGTCTCATTTTCCGCCCCCCATGTCTCATTTTCTGCCCCCATGTCTCATTTTCCGCCCCCCATGTCTCATTTTCTGCCCCCCATGTCTCATTTTCTGCCCCCCATGTCTCATTTTCCGCCCCCCATGTCTCATTTTCTGCCCCCTGTCTCATTTTCTGCCCCCCATGTCTCATTTTCCGCCCCCCATGTCTCATTTTCTGCCCCCCATGTCTCATTTTCTGCCCCCCATGTCTCATTTTCCGCCCCCCATGTCTCATTTTCTGCCCCCTGTCTCATTTTCTGCCCCCCATGTCTCATTTTCCGCCCCCCATGTCTCATTTTCTGCCCCCCATGTCTCATTTTCCGCCCCCTATGTCTCATTTTCTGCCCCCCATGTCTCATTTTCTGCCCCCCATGTCTCATTTTCCGCCCCCCATGTCTCATTTTCTGCCCCATGTCTCATTTTCTGCCCCCCATGTCTCATTTTCTGCCCCCCATGTCTCATTTTCTGCCCCCCATGTCTCATTTTCTGCCCCCATGTCTCATTTTCTACCCCCATGTCTCATTTTCCGCCCCCCATGTCTCATTTTCTGCCCCCCCATGTCTCATTTTCTGCCCCCTGTCTCATTTTCTGCCCCCCATGTCTTATTTTCTGCCCCCCATGTCTCATTTTCCGCCCCCCTGTCTCATTAATCTCACACTACTCTCACCCACTGCCCAAAGCTGCTCCTCTCGACTGATAAAAAGGACAGAGCTTTTGTACAATCAAAAGAATGTTGATTATGCAACTGCCAATTAAATAAGCATTTCTGGCACTGTCGCTAGATGGCAGCCTGGACCCTGTGCCACTCTGGAGTGTGAATGGGGCGGCACTTGGGCGGAAGCGCTGGTGAGAGTCAGACGGCCCTTACTCGCCTGCCTGCGGAAACTGAACCTCCTTCCTGGCGGTGTTCAGTGGGGCGTTCTCTCGTCCATCACCGGATCCGCTGATAACCCGTGACTGGGGGCCCTTGATAACCCGTGACTGGGGGCCCTTGATAACTGGTGACTGAGGGCCTTGGTAACCCGTGACTGGGGGCCCTTGATAACTGGTGACTGAGGGCGTTGGTAACCCGTGACTGGGGGCCCTTGATAACTGGTGACTGAGGGCCTTGGTAACCTGTGACTGGGGCGTTGGTAACCTGTGACTGGGGGCGTTGGTAACCTGTGACTGGGGGCCTTGGTAACTGGTGACTGGGTACTGGAGGCTGTTGTGGGTCGTGACGTCAGACATGTTTGCTATGGAGAACATTCTGTCCAGTTCCCGGAAGAGGTCCAGTATACACCCTGGCTTGGCCTGGGACCGCTGTGGGGCTGCACACCCGTCTACACCCACCTGTGTTACACCCACGGTGTCCTCCCACCTGCCTCCCACGCCTCCTGGCTCCCACCTTCCACCTGCAACTCTGTCCGTTATTTCGGCGTCGCCCGGAGCACCAACCAAGGCGTCAAACACACAGTTCTCGTCGGAGCTGTTGTGTGTTAGTCCCCCAGACTCCATCTTGCTTCCACTCTCGTATACGGCTGAAGAAACCAACAACTCGGCCTCCAATTACTGCTCGCCTCTCTCCAATCATTGCTCGCCTCCCTCCAAACATTGTTCGTCTGCCTCCAAGCTCTGCTCGCCTCCCTCCAAGCTCTGCTCGCCTCCCTCCAAGCTCTGCTCGCCTCCCTCCAAGCTCTGCTCGCCTCCCTCCAAGCTCTGCTCGCCTCCCTCCAAGCTCTGCTCGCCTCCCTCCAAGCTCTGCTCGCCTCCCTCCAAACTCTGCTCGCCTCCCTCCAAGCTCTGCTCGCCTACCTCCAAACTCTGCTCGCCTCCCTCCAAACTCTGCTCGCCTCCCTCCAAACTCTGCTCGCCTACCTCCAAACTCTGCTCGCCTCCCTCCAAACTCTGCTCGCTTCCCTCCAAACTCTGCTCGCCTCCCTCCAAACTCTGCTCGCCTACCTCCAAACTCTGCTTGCCTCCCTCCAAACTCTGCTCGCCTCCCCCTACGACACCTGTCCACTCTACTGCACCAACAAGAGGTATGCCCGGGAGAAGGTATACCTCCTCCTGCTCCTCTGATCCCACACACCTGACTACTCCCTCCTTACACCCAATCACTGCTACAAGCGCCTTCACACACCTGGGATCCCCACAGATTTCTAAACACCTGTTTTGCGCCGTTACGCCAAACCAGTTGCCTCCGGATTACATGTGTTCCAATCCTGATTGGTGGAATTGCTTGAGATCTGATTGTTTGGTATCCGGAGCGTCAAGCAGCGGGCCGTCCGGATGGGGTCCTTACTCCTGGTGTTCTGATAGGCAGGAGGGAAACACCACTCAGCACCTGTACGGTAGTTCAGTACGGGCTCCAGCTCCTGTCCCGGCATTTGTGTTGCCTGGCGGCTCTCTACAGCCTGTACGTACCTTCCATCCGTACCGTGCGCCTGTACGTGCCTTCCACCCGTACCGTGCACCCGTACGTGCCTTCCACCCGTACCGTTCACCTGTACGTGAGTCCGTCCGTGGACCATTGCCGTTCATTAATGACGTCCCTGTCCGTGCGTCGCTTCCTGTACGTGATTCACAGGCCGTCCGTGGACCACTGCCTGTACGAATACCTGTCAACTCGGGTTTCTATCATCCAACCGCTGTTCGAATCCCCGGGGCAATACCTGTCCTTCACAACGGAGCCTCACTGTCTTCTCGCCTCCGTCTGTGTGGCCTGTCCACGGCTGTGACGGGGACCTCAGGAGCCAAGGACGGGGCGAGCAACAGGTCGCCTGCAGGGGGACAGGAGGAGAGGTCGGTGCTGCAACACTCAGCCTTCAGCCAAGCAACATGCTTGCAACTGTCCAGCGCCCTCTCTGGCACAGGTGAGGGCATGAGGCGAGCAATGAGTGAAGGAATGAGTGAAGGAATGATTGTAGGAATGAATGGAGGAATAATTGTAGGAATGAGTGGAGGAATGATTGTGGGAATGAGTGAAGGAATGATTGTAGGAATGACTGGAGGAATGATTGTGTGAATGAGTGAGGGAATGATTGTAGGAATGAGTGGAGGACTGATTGTAGGAATGAGTGGAGGAATGATTGTAGGAATGAGTGGAGGAATGATTGTAGGAATGAGTGGAGGAATGATTGTAGGAATGAGTGGAGGAATGATTGTAGGAATGAGTGGAGGAATGATTGAAGGAATGAGTGGAGGAATGATTGTGGGAATGAGTGAAGGAATGATTGTTGGAATCAGTGGAGGAATGATTGTAGGAATGAGTGGAGGAATGATTGTGGGAATGAGTGAAGGAATGATTGTTGGAATCAGTGGAGGAATGATTGTAGGAATGAGCGGGGGAATGAGTGAAGGAATGATTGTAGGAATGAGTGGAGGAATGATTGTAGGAATGATTATAGGAATGAGTGAAGGAATGATTGAAGGAATGAGTGGAGGAATGATTGTAGGAATGATTATAGGAATGAGTGAAGGAATGATTGAAGGAATGAGTGGAGGAATGATTGTAGGAATGAGTGAAGGAATGATTGTAGGAATGAGTGAAGGAATGATTGTAGGAATGAGTGAAGGAATGATTGTAGGAATGAGTGAAGGAATGATTGTAGAAATGATTATAGGAATGAGATAAGAAAAATATTAAACTAACCATAGAACTGAATTACATAATAAGACTCTACGTAACTATAGGATTCTATAGTCAATAACCACAGTCAATAACCATAGTCAATAACCTTAGTCAATAACCATAGTCAATAACCTTAGTCAATAACCATAGTCAATAACCATAGTCAATAACCATAGTCAATAACCTTAGTCAATAACCATAGTCAATAACCATAGTCAATAACCTTAGTCAATAACCATAGTCAATAACCACAGTCAATAACCATAGTCAATAACCATAGTCAATAACCATAGTCAATAACCACAGTCAATAACCATAGTCAATAACCTTAGTCAATAACCTTAGTCAATAACTATAGTCAATAACCATAGTCAATAACCTTAGTCAATAACCTTAGTCAATAACCTTAGTCAATAACTATAGTCAATAACCATAGTCAATAACCATAGTCAATAACCATAGTCAATAACCATAGTCAATAACCATAGTCAATAACCACAGTCAATAATCATAGTCAATAACCACAGTCAATAACCATAGTCAATAACCACAGTCAATAACCATAGTCAATAACCATAGTCAATAACCATAGTCAATAACCACAGTCAATAACCATAGTCAACAACCATAGTCAATAACCATAGTCAACAACCATAGTCAATAACCATAGTCAATGACCATAGTCAATAACCATAGTCAATAACCTTAGTCAATAACTATAGTCAATAACTATAGTCAATAACTATAGTCAATAACCATAGTCAATAACCTTAGTCAATAACCTTAGTCAATAACCTTAGTCAATAACCATAGTCAATAACCTTAGTCAATAACCTTAGTCAATAACCATAGTCAATAACCATAGTCAATAACCATAGTCAATAACCATAGTCAATAACCACAGTCAATAATCATAGTCAATAACCACAGTCAATAACCATAGTCAATAACCACAGTCAATAACCATAGTCAATAACCATAGTCAATAACCATAGTCAATAACCACAGTCAATAACCATAGTCAACAACCATAGTCAATAACCATAGTCAACAACCATAGTCAATAACCATAGTCAATAATCATAGTCAATAACCATAGTCAATAACCACAGTCAATAACCATAGTCAACAACCATAGTCAGTAACCATAGTCAACAACCATAGTCAATAACCACAGTCAATAATCATAGTCAATAACCATAGTCAATAACCATAGTCAATAACCACAGTCAATAACCATAGTCAATAACCACAGTCAATAATCATAGTCAATAACCACAGTCAATAACCATAGTCAACAACCATAGTCAATACCCATAGTCAATAACCATAGTCAACAACCATAGTCAATACCCTGGAAACACAAACCGAAACTGTCTCTATTTTCCGCTTGTTACAACTTGTAATAAACGTGTTACATCTTGGCTTAACGTGTTTATGACGTATTAGAACGTTGTTACAACGTGCTATATTGGTTGTTATAACTGGTTAGGAGGTGTTAAAACTTGTCCGAACGTTGTACCAACGTCGTAGTTTCGGTGTGTGTTTGTCGGGTAACCATAGTCAATAATCATAGCCAATAACCATAGTCAATAACCATAGTCAATAACCATAGTCAATAACCATAGTCAATAACCATAGTCAATAACCACAGTCAATAACCACAGTCAATAACCATAGTCAATAACCATAGTCAATAATCATAGTCAATAACCATAATCAATAACCATAGTCAATAACCACAGTCAATAACCATAGTCAATAACCATAGTCAACAACCATAGTCAATAACCATAGTCAATAATCATAGCCAATAACCACAGTCAATAACCATAGTCAATAACCATAGTCAATAACCATAGTCAACAACCATAGTCAATAACCATAGTCAATAATCATAGCCAATAACCACAGTCAATAACCATAGTCAACAACCATAGTCAATACCCATAGTCAATAACCATAGTCAACAACCATAGTCAATAACCATAGTCAATAATCATAGCCAATAACCACAGTCAATAACCATAGTCAATAACCATAGTCAATAACCATAGTCAACAACCATAGTCAATAACCATAGTCAATAACCATAGTCAATAACCATAGTCAATAACCATAGTCAATAACCATAGTCAATAACCATAGTCAATAACCATAGTCAATAACCATAGTCAACAACCATAGTCAACAACCATAGTCAATAACCATAGTCAATAACCATAGTCAATAACCATAGTCAATAACCATAGTCAATAACCATAGTCAATAACCATAGTCAACAACCATAGTCAATAACCATAGTCAACAACCATAGTCAATAACCATAGTCAATAACCATAGTCAATAACCATAGTCAACAACCATAGTCAACAACCATAGTCAATAACCATAGTCAATAACCATAGTCAATAACCATAGTCAATAACCATAGTCAATAACCATAGTCAACAACCATAGTCAATAACCATAGTCAATAACCATAGTCAATAACCATAGTCAATAACCATAGTCAATAACCATAGTCAATAACCATAGTCAATAACCACAGTCAATAACCATAGTCAATAACCATAGTCAATAACCATAGTCAACACTTTACGGTAACTTTATAAGGTTTAAAACATAAAGTTCAATATAATATTCTGGTTTTCATACAGGAATTATATGTTAACATAACATCATAATAACGTAACGATGTCATGTAAATAACGTCATATTGACGTCATATAAATGTTATATTCATGTTATAAGAACGTAAATTGGACAGGTTTACATAAAGTAAACAAAATGTTGACTGAAGTGTTTTTATTTTTAAATATAAAGCATAAAGACATTATAATTCCAAAGCATTCACTATTATTTTTAAATTTTTACACAAATCTTAAAAAACTGTCTCAAGAATATATGTTTTAAGTTATCTCTAAAGCTTTTTAAGAACGTTAGAAATACGTATTTATGTCAATAGTTTCAGATTACGTTCGTGGTACCATTTAAAAACGTCCACAAACGTTTTGTGTTTGCTGAGTAGTCAATAACCGTCATTAATGACTGATATTAGTTAGTTAGACGAATTAGTTAAATTTCAAATAACATTTTTACCTTTAAATGTTTTACATATGTAGGTATATGTGTCATCTACATATGAAATAGGAACGTAAAATTTAAAGAAACACAGAAGGAATTATTTCCCTGAACACGGAAATTACATATAGGAAAAGTACATAATGTTACATTATTTGATGAACCGGTTTCAACTGTATATATTCCCTCCAATTGGTCGTCAGAGAGCGGGTACCCGGCCGGCCCCGGGTGTCGAAGGCGGGGCGGGCAGGTGCGGTTCAGCAGGGAGCAGACGCGCCACCTGGAGCTGTGCTTCAGGCGGTCGAGGACCGTCACGGGTGACGAGAGGCGAGACATCGCCAGGCTCCTCCACCTCCACGAGCGGCAGGTTAGGTTAGGGTCCATCATTTATCAATTTATATAATAATTTGTTTATGTATTCATCAATTAAATGTTATTATTAATTAATCAATTCAACAAAATAGAATATGCTATTTTATTCCTAACTTAATACTGAATGATTTATAAATAGGCCTAATATTCCGCAGGTAAACACCTGGTTCCAGAACCGTCGGGCCAAGGAGAAGAGGCTTAAGGCGCCCCTCAGTGTCCCAGGTACTGTGTCCCTGGTCCATGTTACTGGTGTCCCTGGTCCATGTTACTGGTGTCCCTGGTCCATGTTACTGGTGTACTGGTCCATGTTACTGGTGTATTGGTCCATGTTACTGGTGTATTGGTCCATGTTACTGGTGCCCCCCTGGTCCATGTTACTGGTGTACTGGTCCATGTTACTGGTGTACTGGTCCATGTTACTGGTGCCCCCCTGGTCCATGTTAATGGTGTACTGGTCCATGTTACTGGTGTACTGGTCCATGTTACTGGTGCCCCCCTGGTCCATGTTACTGGTGCCCCCCTGGTCCATGTTACTGGTGCCCCTGGTCCATGTTACTGGTGTACTGGTCCATGTTACTAGTGTACTGGTCCATGTTACTGGTGCCCCTGGTCCATATTACTGGTGCCCCTGGTCCATGTTACTAGTGTCCCTGGTCCATGTTACTGGTGCCCCTGGTCCATGTTACTGGTGTACTGGTCCATGTTACTGGTGTCCCTGGTCCATGTTACTGGTGTACTGGTCCATGTTACTGGTGCCCCTCTGGTCCATGTTACTGGTGTACTGGTCCATGTTACTGGTGTCCCTGGTCCATGTTACTGGTGCCCCTGGTCCATGTTACTGGTGTCCCTGGTCCATGTTACTGGTGTCCCCCTGGTCCATGTTACTGGTGTCCCTGGTCCATGTTACTGGTGTACTGGTCCATGTTACTGGTGTACTGGTCCATGTTACTGGTGCCCCTGGTCCATGTTACTGGTGTACTGGTCCATGTTACTGGTGCCACTGGTCCATGTTACTTGTGTACTGGTCCACGTTACTGGTGCCCCCCTGGTCCATGTTACTGGTGCCCCCCTGGTCCATGTTACTGGTGCCCCCCTGGTCCATGTTACTGGTGCCACTGGTCCATGTTACTGGTGTACTGGTCCATGTTACTGGTGCCCCTGGTCCATGTTACTGGTGTACTGGTCCATGTTACTGGTGCCACTGCTCCATGTTACTGGTGTACTGGTCCATGTTACTGGTGTCCCCCTGGTCCATGTTACAGGTGCCCCTGGTCCATGTTACTGGTGTACTGGTCCATGTTACTGGTGCCACTGGTCCATGTTACTGGTGTACTGGTCCATGTTACTGGTGCCCCTGGTCCATGTTACTGGTGTCCCCCTGATCCATGTTACTGGTGTCCCTGGTCCATGTTACTGGTGTACTGGTCCATGTTACTGGTGCCACTGGTCCATGTTACTGGTGCCCCTGGTCCATGTTACTGGTGCCCCTGGTCCATGTTACTGGTGCCCCTGGTCCATGTTACTGGTGCCCCTGGTCCATGTTACTGGTGCCCCTGGTCCATGTTACTGGTGCCCCTGGTCCATGCTACTGGTGCCCCTGGTCCATGTTACTGGTGCCCCTGGTCCATGTTACTGGTGCCACTGGTCCATGTTACTGGTGTACTGGTCCATGTTACTGGTGCCCCTGGTCCATGTTACTAGTGTCCCTGGTCCATGTTACTGGTGCCACTGGTCCATGTTACTGGTGTCCCTGGTCCATGTTACTGGTGTACTGGTCCATGTTACTGGTGTACTGGTCCATGTTACTGGTGTACTGGTCCATGTTACTGGTGTACTGGTCCATGTTACTGGTGTACTGGTCCATGTTACTGGTGTCCCCCTGGTCCATGTTACTGGTGTCCCCCTGGTCCATGTTACTGGTGCCCCTGGTCCATGTTACTGGTGCCACTGGTCCATGTTACTGGTGTACTGGTCCATGTTACTGGTGCCCCTGGTCCATGTTACTGGTGTCCCTGGTCCATGTTACTGGTGCCACTGGTCCATGTTACTGGTGTCCCTGGTCCATGTTACTGGTGTACTGGTCCATGTTACTGGTGTACTGGTCCATGTTACTGGTGTACTGGTCCATGTTACTGGTGTCCCCCTGGTCCATGTTACTGGTGTACTGGTCCATGTTACTGGTGTACTGGTCCATGTTACTGGTGTACTGGTCCATGTTACTGGTGTACTGGTCCATGTTACTGGTGTACTGGTCCATGTTACTGGTGCCCCTGGTCCATGTTACTGGTGCCTCTGGTCCATGTTACTGGTGTTCTGGTCCATGTTACTGGTGTACTGGTCCATGTTACTGGTGTACTGGTCCATGTTACTGGTGTACTGGTCCATGTTACTGGTGTACCGGTCCATGTTACTAGTGTACTGGTCCATGTTACTGGTGTACTGGTCCATGTTACTGGTGTACTGGTCCATGTTACTGGTGTACTGGTCCATGTTACTGGTGCCCCTGGTCCATGTTACTGGTGCCCCTGGTCCATGTTACTGGTGCTCCTGGTCCATGTTACTGGTGCCCCTGGTCCATGTTACTGGTTCCCCTGGTCCATGTTACTGGTGCCCCTGGTCCATATTACTGGTGTCCCCCTGGTCCATGTTACTGGTGTACTGGTCCATGTTACTGGTGCCCCTGGTCCATGTTACTGGTGTACTGGTCCATGTTACTGGTGTACTGGTCCATGTTACTGGTATCCCTGGAACATGTTACTGGTGCCCCTGGTCCATGTTACTGGTGTACTGGTCCATGTTACTGGTGTACTGGTCCATGTTACTGGTGCCCCTGGTCCATGTTACTGGTGTACTGGTCTATGTTACTGGTGCCCCTGGTCCATGTTACTGGTGCCCCTGGTTCATGTTACTGGTGCCCCTGGTCCATGTTACTGGTGCCCCTGGTCCATGTTACTGTTGTTCTGGTCCATGTTACTGGTGCCCCTGGTCCATGTTACTGGTTCCCCTGGTCCATGTTACTGGTGTACTGGTCCATGTTACTGGTGCCCTTGGTCCATGTTAGTGGTGTACTGGTCCATGTTACTGGTGTACTGGTCCATGTTACTGGTGTACTGGTCCATGTTACTGGTGTACTGGTCCATGTTACTGGTGCCCCTGGTCCATGTTACTGGTGCCTCTGGTCCATGTTACTGGTGTTCTGGTCCATGTTACTGGTGTACTGGTCCATGTTACTGGTGTACTGGTCCATGTTACTGTGTGTCCATGTTACTGGTGTACTGGTCCATGTTACTGGTGTACCGGTCCATGTTACTGGTGTACTGGTCCATGTTACTGGTGTACTGGTCCATGTTACTGGTGTACTGGTCCATGTTACTGGTGTACTGGTCCATGTTACTGGTGCCCCTGGTCCATGTTACTGGTGCCCCTGGTCCATGTTACTGGTGCTCCTGGTCCATGTTACTGGTGCCCATGGTCCATGTTACTGGTTCCCCTGGTCCATGTTACTGGTGCCCCTGGTCCATGTTACTGGTGTACTGGAACATGTTACTGGTGCCCCTGGTCCATGTTACTGGTGTACTGGTCCATGTTACTGGTGTACTGGTCCATGTTACTGGTGCCCCTGGTCCATGTTACTGGTGCCCCTGGTCCATGTTACTGGTGCCCTTGGTCCATGTTACTGGTGTACTGGTCCATGTTACTGGTGCCCCTGGTCCATGTTACTGGTGCCCCTGGTCCATGTTACTTGTGTACTGGTCCATGTTACTGGTGCCCCTGGTCCATGTTACTGGTGCCCCTGGTCCATGTTACTGGTGCCACTGGTCCATGTTACTGGTGTACTGGTCCATGTTACTGGTGTACTGGTCCATGTTACTGGTGTACTGGTCCATGTTACTGGTGTACTGGTCCATGTTACTGGTGCCACTGGTCCATGTTACTGGTGTCCCTGGTCCATGTTACTGGTGTACTGGTCCATGTTACTGGTGTACTGGTCCATGTTACTGGTGTACTGGTCCATGTTACTGGTGTACTGGTCCATGTTACTGGTGTACTGGTCCATGTTACTGGTGTACTGGTCCATGTTACTGGTGTACTGGTCCATGTTACTGGTGTACTGGTCCATGTTACTGGTGTACTGGTCCATGTTACTGGTGCCCCTGGTCCATGTTACTGGTGTACTGGTCCATGTTACTGGTGTACTGGTCTATGTTACTGGTGCCCCAGGTCCATGTTACTGGTGTACTGGTCCATGTTACTGGTGTACTGGTCCATGTTACTGGTGCCCCTGGTCCATGTTACTGGTGTACTGGTCCATGTTACTGGTCTGGTCCATGTTACTGGTCCATGTTACTGGTGCCCCTGGTCCATGTTACTGGTGTACTGGTCCATGTTACTGGTGTACTGGTCCATGTTACTGGTGCCCCTGGTCCATGTTACTGGTGTCCCTGGTCCATGTTACTGGTGTACTGTACTGGTCCATGTTACTGGTTACTGGTCCATGTTACTGGTGCCCCTGGTCCATGTTACTGGTGCCCCTGGTCCATGTTACTGGTGTACTGGTCCATGTTACTGGTGTACTGGTCCATGTTACTGGTGTACTGGTCCATGTTACTGGTGTACTGGTCCATGTTACTGGTGTACTGGTCCATGTTACTGGTGTACTGGTCCATGTTACTGGTGTACTGGTCCATGTTACTGGTGTACTGGTCCATGTTACTGGTCCATGTTACTGGTGTACTGGTCCATGTTACTGGTGTACTGGTCCATGTTACTGGTGTACTGGTCCGTGTTACTGGTGTACTGGTCCATGTTACTGGTGTCCCTGGTCCATGTTACTGGTGCCCCTGGTCCATGTTACTGGTGCCCCTGGTCCATGTTACTGGTGTCCCTGGTCCATGTTACTGGTGCCCCTGGTCCATGTTACTGGTGTACTGGTCCATGTTACTGGTGTACTGGTCCATGTTACTGGTGTACTGGTCCATGTTACTGGTGTACTGGTCCATGTTACTGGTGTACTGGTCCATGTTACTGGTGTACTGGTCCGTGTTACTGGTGTACTGGTCCGTGTTACTGGTGTACTGGTCCATGTTACTGGTGTACTGGTCCATGTTACTGGTGTACTGGTCCATGTTACTGGTGTACTGGTCCATGTTACTGGTGTACAGGTCCATGTTACTGGTGTACTGGTCCGTGTTACTGGTGTACTGGTCCATGTTACTGGTGTACTGGTCCATGTTACTGGTGTACTGGTCCATGTTACTGGTGCCCCTGGTCCATGTAACTGGTGTACTGGTCCATGTTACTGGTGTCCCTGGTCCATGTTACTGGTGCCCCTGGTCCATGTTACTTGTGTACTGGTCCATGTTACTGGTGCCCCTGGTCCATGTTACTGGTGTACTGGTCCATGTTACTGGTGCCCCTGGTCCATGTTACTGGTGTACTGGTCCATGTTACTGGTGCCCCTGGTCCATGTTACTGGTGTACTGGTCCATGTTACTGGTGCCCCTGGTCCATGTTACTGGTGTACTGGTCCATGTTACTGGTGCCCCTGGTCCATGTTACTGGTGTACTGGTCCATGTTACTGGTGTACTGGTCCATGTTACTGGTGTACTGGTCCATGTTACTGGTGTACTGGTCCATGTTACTGGTGCCCCTGGTCCATGTTACTGGTGCCCCTGGTCCATGTTACTGGTGCCCCTGGTCCATGTTACTGGTGCCCCTGGTCCATGTTACTGGTGTACTGGTCCATGTTACTGGTGTACTGGTCCATGTTACTGGTGTCCCTGGTCCATGTTACTGGTGCCCCTGGTCCATGTTACTGGTGCCCCTGGTCCATGTTACTGGTGCCCCTTGTCCATGTTACTGGTGCCCCTGGTCCATGTTACTGGTGTACTGGTCCATGTTACTGGTGTACTGGTCCATGTTACTGGTGCCCCTGGTCCGTGTTACTGGTGTCCCTGGTCCGTGTTACTGGTGCCCCTGGTCCGTGTTACTGGTGCCCCTGGTCCATGTTACTGGTGCCCCTGGTCCATGTTACTGGTGTTCCTGGTCCGTGTTACTGGTGCCCCTGGTCCGTGTTACTGGTGCCGCTGGTCCATGTTACTGGTGCCCCTGGTCCGTGTTACTGGTGCCCCTGGTCCATATTACTGGTGCCCCTGGTCCGTGTTACTGGTGTCCCTGGTCCGTGTTACTGGTGCCCCTGGTCCGTGTTACTGGTGCCCCTGGTCCATGTTACTGGTGCCCCTGGTCCATGTTACTGGTGTACTGGTCCATGTTACTGGTGCCCCTGGTCCATGTTACTGGTGTACTGGTCCATGTTACTGGTGCCCCTGGTCCATGTTACTGGTGCCCCTGGTCCGTGTTACTGGTGCCCCTGGTCCATGTTACTGGTGCCCCTGGTCCATGTTACTGGTGTACTGGTCCATGTTACTGGTGCCCCTGGTCGATGTTACTGGTGTACTGGTCCATGTTACTGGTGCCCCTGGTCCATGTTACTGGTGTACTGGTCCATGTTACTGGTGCCCCTGGTCCATGTTACTGGTGCCCCTGGTCCATGTTACTGGTGTACTGGTCCATGTTACTGGTGCCCCTGGTCCATGTTACTGGTGTACTGGTCCATGTTACTGGTGTACTGGTCCATGTTACTGGTGCCCCTGGTCCATGTTACTGGTGTACTGGTCCATGTTACTGGTGTACTGGTCCATGTTACTGGTGCCCCTGGTCCGTGTTACTGGTGTACTGGTCCGTGTTACTGGTGCCCCTGGTCCGTGTTACTGGTGCCCCTGGTCCATGTTACTGGTGCCCCTGGTCCGTGTTACTGGTGTACTGGTCCATGTTACTGGTGCCCCTGGTCCATGTTACTGGTGTACTGGTCCATGTTACTGGTGTACTGGTCCATGTTACTGGTGCCCCTGGTCCATGTTACTGGTGTACTGGTCCATGTTACTGGTGTACTGGTCCATGTTACTGGTGTACTGGTCCATGTTACTGGTGTACTGGTCCATGTTACTGGTGCCCCTGGTCCATGTTACTGGTGTACTGGTCCATGTTACTGGTGTACTGGTCCATGTTACTGGTGCCCCTGGTCCGTGTTACTGGTGCCCCTGGTCCATGTTACTGGTGTACTGGTCCATGTTACTGGTGCCCCTGGTCCATGTTACTGGTGTACTGGTCCATGTTACTGGTGTACTGGTCCATGTTACTGGTGTACTGGTCCATGTTACTGGTGTACTGGTCCATGTTACTGGTGTACTGGTCCATGTTACTGGTGTACTGGTCCATGTTACTGGTGTACTGGTCCATGTTACTGGTGCCCCTGGTCCATGTTACTGGTGTACTGGTCCATGTTACTGGTGTACTGGTCCATGTTACTGGTGCCCCTGGTCCGTGTTACTGGTGCCCCTGGTCCATGTTACTGGTGTACTGGTCCATGTTACTGGTGCCCCTGGTCCATGTTACTGGTGTACTGGTCCATGTTACTGGTGTACTGGTCCATGTTACTGGTGTACTGGTCCATGTTACTGGTGTACTGGTCCATGTTACTGGTGCCCCTGGTCCATGTTACTGGTGTACTGGTCCATGTTACTGGTGTACTGGTCCATGTTACTGGTGCCCCTGGTCCATGTTACTGGTGTACTGGTCCATGTTACTGGTGTACTGGTCCATGTTACTGGTGCCCCTGGTCCATGTTACTGGTGTACTGGTCCATGTTACTGGTGTACTGGTCCATGTTACTGGTGCCCCTGGTCCATGTTACTGGTGTACTGGTCCATGTTACTGGTGTACTGGTCCATGTTACTGGTGCCCCTGGTCCATGTTACTGGTGTACTGGTCCATGTTACTGGTGCCCCTGGTGCATGTTACTGGTGTACTGGTCCATGTTACTGGTGTACTGGTCCATGTTACTGGTGCCCCTGGTCCATGTTACTGGTGTACTGGTCCATGTTACTGGTGTACTGGTCCATGTTACTGGTGTACTGGTCCATGTTACTGGTGCCCCTGGTCCATGTTACTGGTGTACTGGTCCATGTTACTGGTGCCCCTGGTGCATGTTACTGGTGTACTGGTCCATGTTACTGGTGTACTGGTCCATGTTACTGGTGCCCCTGGTCCATGTTACTGGTGTACTGGTCCATGTTACTGGTGCCCCTGGTCCATGTTACTGGTGTACTGGTCCATGTTACTGGTGCCCCTGGTGCATGTTACTGGTGTACTGGTCCATGTTACTGGTGTACTGGTCCATGTTACTGGTGCCCCTGGTCCATGTTACTGGTGTACTGGTCCATGTTACTGGTGCCCCTGGTCCATGTTACTGGTGTACTGGTCCATGTTACTGGTGCCCCTGGTGCATGTTACTGGTGTACTGGTCCATACATTCACCATTCCTAATCCTTCTGTACAAAGCTTATGTTTACATAAAAGTTTCCTGAAGTCTTGTGGAGTCACGTTTGGCTTCTTTGTTATTTGCTGCCATTGTTCCAGGACCTGATGCTCGGGGCTGATGGCCAGCGAGGAGTCGAACCCTGGCAGCAAGGATGACAACGAATTCAAATCCTTATTTTGAATTCACTCCTGACACACCCTTGAATACATCTGTCCGCACCTGACCTCTCAAATGGTGTAAATTCAATACGCTCTGTACTGTCCCATCACTTGAGAATGAACCATGTTGGTTCGAAACGTTGTGTAAATTTTTAATAAATGAAATATCGTCTATAGTTAATTATTTCCTTTTCTTCACCTTGAACGAAGATGACTTTTGGAGAACTTTTCTTGTAATTTACCCTAGATGCAAGAGCACCGGTCACAGGGAGAGAGAAGCCCTCAACAAGATAATATGTGCTGTCATATTTAAAACTCCACACCCTAGAGGTGACTCGAACCCACACCGCCAGGGACACAGTGGTGCACCTGGTACCTTATCCACTTGACCAACCGTGACCCTACAAAAGATGATCCATGTATCCATGTATAAAATATACAGATATATAAATGTATAAATTAGTAAATGAAATCAATGATTGTGAAGCCCAACACTCCGTTTTCTTTGAGAACCTTAAGGGAACCAAGAGTTAAACATGGTGTGTTTTACCTGCCAATGTTTACATGTAAACACAGGTTTACAGGGGGGGGGGGGGAGGTCCCGGGTGTCGGGCGGTGTATTTTACAACTTGTCACCTCATGCCCCGTGTTAGGCCTACCTCATCTGTTTAAAAAAAAAATTATAAGTTAATGAGCCATAAATACTTTACCCCCCCCCCCTATGGGGTGAGGGGGTGGCGCCCCCACTAGACCCCTCTACTGACTCTTGACAGGATGCTGCCCACAACAGCTGCCTAACTCCCGGGTATCTACTTGCCGCCAGGTGGACAGGAGCATCAGGTGCATCTAGGCCTGCTACTGACCTTCCCTAGGATGGAACCAAACCCTGGGTGCTAGAGAAGAAGGATCGGAAATTCCGGGTTCGATCCCCTAGCGGGACAGTAATAGTTGGGCATATTTACTTTCAACTAATGCGTCTCTTCACCTAGCAGTAAATAGGAAGTGGCAAGGCTGTCAATTGTTGTGGGGGCGGTATGGTGGGGATGGTCAGTAGTATCTCCTTGAGGGGGTCCTCAATATGTCTAACATATACATATACATATGCTGCCTGTCCCCGACAGAATGAAAACTGAACGCAAGAAAGAAATCCATAGTTACCCCTTTAACGTTTTCTCATTAACTTTAGAAAACGCGGAGGATATTATGTGAGGGTAAACTGTTGAATATTTCCCCCTCTGTCTATTCTTCAGTAAAGATCCCGAGGACGGCAGAGTCCAGTTCCTGCCACGAGCCACAACACCAACAGAAATATTTCTCCCGCCACTTCTCCGGTACTCTGGAGCAGTGTGACCTTCGGGCTCACCTTGCCCGACACGCTGTGTTAGTGACGATACTTAAAGAAACTTGTTCCTGCCCGAAACGCTGTGCGTAATAGTGGCTTTAGGCATTGTATGTACTAGCTCTATCTATAAAGCCAACAAACTTTGTAAAATCTCTTTATGTATGTACCTTACCTAAATAAAAAATTATTATTATTATTATTATTATTATTATTATAAAGCATAGTGTGTAGCGGCTCTATCTTCAAATCCATTATGTTGTAACTCATCTTGTATGTGTGTACTTTGATTTAAGAGTTGTGACGGTAACGCGTTGGTGTTCGGCTGTTTCAAAAGCTAGGGGTATGGCCTCGTCACATAAAGGAAACAAAGAGAAAATCTGGAACTTTCTTCTGTGGTAAGGTAATGGGAAGACACACAAAACACAAGTAAATTGAACAATGAAATTTTAATTACGTTAGAAAAGCAAAACATGAATAAAATGGACATAAAAATTGTAACATAAATCAATGAAACAAAATAATATGAATAATCACTGGCAAAATGAAAAGTTACGTTAAGACAAGTGAATAATATACAAGGAGATATATGAGTGCAGGAATATTGGCTTTAAGCTGCCACCTCTCTCAGTACACGTAAGCCAGGGCTTAGTCTACCAATGAGACGTGTTAACTTGTGGAAAGCACGGGATATTCTGAGGGCTGTAGGTCGTGGTGGCCCAGATATCAGGTAGTGTGGCGGGTGGAGGGAGCAGGTGCGACGGCACCAGCCAATCAGCGATGTGCAGGCGACTGACAGGTAGTTTGCTGGTTAGAGTGGCGGAGGTGGAGCAGGTGTTCCCGGTGCTGAATACGTTTGCTCTCTGGGCAAACTTCGGTGTTGTACTTGTTGGATATATCTTCTATATTAGTTGTTATTGTTGTTATTAGTTGTATAGGGACGTACTTAGGAGGGAAGAGCAGGCTCAATCTCTCTTGAAGGAGATTATCGTCACAGAGTAAACAAGCGTCTTAATCCTTAACAATGTAATAAATCTATAGGACCCGACCAGGATTCGAACCCATGACGTTCAGGATCGCCCCAAACGTACACAGTACCGTGACCTGCGCCCCAATGACCGGAGACCAGTGATCACCGTCGACCGTGAATCTCTCTCACACTTCCTCCTCATAACACAAATTACTCTACAACCAAAAGGTTTCAGTTTAGCTTCGAGCTTAACGTCAAATAATGTTTTAGGTATCCATTAAAATTCCGTTTTCTATTTGATATCTTTAAGATGGACTTTTATTTAGAAAATATACAAAAGAAGAATTAACATTGACTATACATTGATATAATAATTATTCTCAAGATATATTAAAACAGCAGTTAGGGTCTGATGGGGCAGACAATGCTAAACAACACGTTAATTGATGTGAAAATACATCAAATTGGGTTTGAAAATACAACTGAAAAAGATCATCAGGGCAAATGAGGGAGGGGAGGGACCTTTGACAAGCCGCCGGCTTCATGTCGAGGCCCCTAGCCCTCAGGTAAATTCAGGTAAACATTCTTCAAGAAATTCTCTGAATTATGTAATAGTTTGGCAGCATGGCCTTCGAGGCCTATATTACTGGCGTGTTAATGGCCTTAAAGGAATGTATTATTTGTTCACTAAACGATATAATTATTATACATTATAAATTATATATATTAAGCAGTCTAATTATTATAATTTAAATTATAAATATTAAGGAGTCGTTTTCTAAGGGTTCGTTTTCTCTCGAATTTTAAATTTTCTTTAATCGGGGACTATTTTATATTTTAATTGTGTTGGAGTTTGGGCGCCGCAAAACGGGGCGTTGGCTTCCTCGCTCGTGACGGAAACTTCCCGTCAATGTTGTCGTCTAGACGACGGGTGTGGTCGTCCCCTGTGAGGCCCTCGTCGTCACCGTCGCTCTGGAATGTGGAAGGTTAGGTCGTCCGTCTTGTCGTCCGGAAGACGGGCTGTGTCGCCCCTTAGTGACGTCCTCGCCGTTATCGTCGCTCTGGGAGGTGAGGTCGTCCGTCTTGTCGTCCGGACGACGGTCGTCCTTCGTGAGGCCCTCTCCGACCGGGTCCCCGTCGTCCTCGTCGCTCTGGGACGTGTGTGGGGACGACGAGGCGACCGGTACAGCCTCGTCGCCGTGCTGAAACACAGAGATATTTTTACAACATTTCCGTAAATGAATAAAATATTGGTTAAGACGACATTTTTTTGTAAACAACGACAGATTCTCACCACAGTGTAGGGGCCGTGTAATGTGTCGTGGAATTGACCTGAATTGACCTGATGGCTGCTATCTAGTGGCCTCGACGGGGAGAGGAAGCCGGCGGCTTGTCAAAGAACAATACGACCTGCAGGCAGACTTAATAGGGGCCATGGAAATCTGTGCCTATTTAGGGGGGAATGAGTCTGGGGGGGTGTAAATAGGGGCTCTTTCCCATTAGCCAATTAGCCAACTACCACCCAACAACCAGCAGTTGAGGTACTCCCAGGCACTAAACTACCTGCTATCTAAGATAACACCCTTCACACCTCTTAAGAACACCAATAGATAACGCCCAGATAACAGTCACTTGGGATCATTAGAGATTGCAAGTGACAAGGTTATCAAGCGATATTGCCTTTCATATTATTATTAATTTCTACGTCCTTAACAAGTCCAGATAACACGTAGCGCAGTGGTCTGCGTCCCCGACCCACAATTGACGGATCTGAGTTGAATCCCGCAGAAAAAGAGACACCTGGGCCACACCCTCGCCTGGGCCACACCTTGACCTGGGCCACACCCTCGCCTGGGCCACACCCTCACCTGGGCCACACCCTCACCTGGGCCACACCCTCACCTGGGCCACACCCTCGCCTGAGCCACACCCTCGCCTGGGCCACACCCTCGCCTGGGCCACACCCTCGCCTGGGCCACACCCTCGCCTGGGCCACAGCCTCGCCTGGGCCACACCCTCACCTGGGCCGCACCCTCGCCTGGGCCACACCCTCGCCTGGGCCACACCCTCACCTGGGCCACACCCTCACCTGGGCCACACCCTCGCCTGGGCCACACCCTCACCTGGGCCACACCCTCGCCTGGGCCACACCCTCACCTGGGCCACACCCTCGCCTGGCCCACACCCTCGCCTGGGCCACACCCTCGCCTGGGCCACACCCTCACCTGGGCCACACCCTCGCCTGGGCCACACCCTCACCTGGGCCACACCCTCACCTGGGCCACACCCTCACCTGGGCCACACCCTCGCCTGGGCCACACCCTCGCCTGGGCCACACCCTCGCCTGGGCCACACCCTCGCCTGGGTCACACCCTCGCCTGGGTCACACCCTCGCCTGGGTCACACCCTCCTCTGGGCCACACCTTGACCTGGGCCACACCCTCACCTGGGCCACACCCTCGCCTGGGCCACACCCTCACCTGGGCCACACCCTCACCTGGGCCACACCCTCACCTGGGCCACACCCTCGCCTGGGCCACACCCTCGCCTGGGCCACACCCTCGCCTGGGCCACACCCTCACCTGGGCCACACCCTCGCCTGGGCCACACCCTCGCCTGGGCCACACCCTCACCTGGGCCACAGCCTCGCCTGGGCCACAGCCTCGCCTGGGTCACACCCTCGCCTGGGTCACACCCTCGCCTGGGTCACACCCTCCTCTGGGCCACACCTTGACCTGGGCCACACCCTCGCCTGGGCCACACCCTCACCTGGGCCACACCCTCACCGGGGCCACACCCTTGCTTGGGCCACACCCTCGCCTGGGCCACACCCTCGCCTGGGCCACACCCTCACCTGGGCCACAGCCTCGCCTGGGCCACAGCCTCGCCTGGGTCACACCCTCGCCTGGGTCACACCCTCGCCTGGGTCACACCCTCCTCTGGGCCACACCTTGACCTGGGCCACACCCTCGCCTGGGCCACACCCTCACCTGGGCCACACCCTCACCGGGGCCACACCCTTGCTTGGGCCACACCCTCGCCTGGGCCACACCCTCGCCTGGGCCACACCCTCGCCTGGGCCACAGCCTCGCCTGGGCCACAGCCTCGCCTGGGTCACACCCTCGCCTGGGCCACACCCTCGCCTGGGCCACACCCTCACCTGGGCCACACCATCGCCTGGGCAACACCCTCGCCTGGGCCACACCCTCGCCTGGGCCACACCCTCGCCTGGGCCACACCCTCGCCTGGGCCACAGCCTCGCCTGGGCCACACCCTCACCTGGGCCACACCCTCGCCTGGGCCACACCCTCGCCTGGGCCACACCATCACCTGGGCCACACCCTCGCCTGGGCCACACCCTCGCCTGGGCCACACCCTCGCCTGGGCCACAGCCTCGCCTGGGCCACAGCCTCGCCTGGGTCACACCCTCGCCTGGGTCACACCCTCGCCTGGGTCACACCCTCCTCTGGGCCACACCTTGACCTGGGCCACACCCTCGCCTGGGCCACACCCTCACCTGGGCCACACCCTCACCTGGGCCACACCCTTGCTTGGGCCACACCCTCGCCTGGGCCACACCCTCGCCTGGGCCACACCCTCGCCTGGGCCACAGCCTCGCCTGGGCCACAGCCTCGCCTGGGTCACACCCTCGCCTGGGCCACACCCTCGCCTGGGCCACACCCTCACCTGGGCCACACCCTCGCCTGGGCCACACCCTCGCCTGGGCCACACCCTCGCCTGGGCCACACCCTCGCCTGGGCCACAGCCTCGCCTGGGCCACAGCCTCGCCTGGGCCACACCCTCACCTGGGCCACACCCTCGCCTGGGCCACACCCTCGCCTGGGCCACACCATCACCTGGGCCACACCCTCGCCTGGGCCACACCCTCGCCTGGGCCACACCCTCGCCTGGGCCACACCCTCGCCTGGGCCACACCCTCGCCTGGGCCACACCCTCGCCTGGGCCACACCCTCGCCTGGGCCACACCCTCACCTGGGCCACACCATCACCTGGGCCACACCCTCGCCTGGGCCACACCCTCGCCTGGGCCACACCCTCGCCTGGGCCACACCCTCGCCTGGGCCACACCCTCACCTGGGCCACACGGACAACAAGGCAACATTCAGTAATGATTGATGAAGGAGTTTATCAAGAGCTTAAGTTGATACTCAGCTCAGCCCACACACACACCTCACTTACGACCACCTCCGACCTGGGGCCAGACTCACGAAGCAGTTACGCAAGCACTTACGAACCTTACAGCTTTTCTGAATCATTGACGGCTTTGTTTACATTTATTAAACAGTTTACAAGCATGAAAACTTGCCAAACAACTGTTGTTATTGTTATGAACAGCCTCCTGGTGCTTCCGAGCTCATTAACTGTTTCATAATGTTTTTCTTGCCCGAAACGCATTGCGTAATAGTGGCTTTAGGCATTGTATGTACTAGCTCTATCTATATATCAATCCATTAATGTAACATCAGTTGTATGTATATACCTTACCTGAATAAACATATTTATTTATTTATTTATAATTGTAAACAAAGCTGTCAAAGATTCAGGAAAGATGTACAGGTTCGTAAGTGCTTGCGTAACTGCTTCGTGAATCTGGCCTCTGGTGACGCCCCTGGTGTATGTATGTCTCGTGTTAACACCACACACAGTAGTACAAGAGGACAGTACACAGTAGTACAAGAGGACAGTACACAGTAGTACAAGAGGACAGTACACAGCAGTACAAGAGGGCAGTACACAGCAGTACAAGAGGACAGTACACAGCAGTACAAGAGGACAGTACACAGTAGTACAAGAGGACAGTACACAGTAGTACAAGAGGACAGTACACAGTAGTACAAGAGGACAGTACACAGCAGTACAAGAGGACAGTACACAGCAGTACAAGAGGACAGTACACAGTAGTACAAGAGGACAGTACACAGTAGTACAAGAGGACAGTACACAGTAGTACAAGAGGACAGTACACAGTAGTACAAGAGGACAGTACACAGCAGTACAAGAGGACAGTACACAGTAGTACAAGAGGACAGTACACAGTAGTACAAGAGGACAGTACACAGTAGTACAAGAGGACAGTACACAGTAGTACAAGAGGACAGTACACAGTAGTACAAGAGGACAGTACACAGTAGTACAAGAGGACAGTACACAGTAGTACAAGAGGACAGTACACAGTAGTACAAGAGGACAGTACACAGTAGTACAAGAGGACAGTACACAGTAGTACAAGAGGACAGTACACAGTAGTACAAGAGGACAGTACACAGTAGTACAAGAGGACAGTACACAGTAGTACAAGAGGACAGTACACAGTAGTACAAGAGGACAGTACACAGTTATACAAGAGGACAGTACACAGTTATACAAGAGGACAGTACACAGTAGTACAAGAGGACAGTACACAGTAGTACAAGAGGACAGTACACAGTAGTACAAGAGGACAGTACACAGTAGTACAAGAGGACAGTACACAGTAGTACAAGAGGACAGACAGTACAAGAGGACAGTACACAGTTATAGTACAAGAGGACAGTACACAGTAGTACAAGAGGACAGTACACAGTAGTACAAGAGGACAGTACACAGTAGTACAAGAGGACAGTACACAGTAGTACAAGAGGACAGTACACAGTAGTACAAGAGGACAGTACACAGTAGTACAAGAGGACAGTACAAGAGGACAGTACACAGTAGTACAAGAGGACAGTACACAGTAGTACAAGAGGACAGTACACAGTAGTACAAGAGGACAGTACACAGTAGTACAAGAGGACAGTACACAGTAGTACAAGAGGACAGTACACAGTAGTACAAGAGGACAGTACACAGTAGTACAAGAGGACAGTACACAGACAGTACAAGAGGACAGTACACAGTAGTACAAGAGGACAGTACACAGTACAAGAGGACAGTACACAGTAGTACAAGAGGACAGTACACAGCAGTACAAGAGGACAGTACACAGTACACAGTAGTACAAGAGGACAGTACACAGCAGTACAAGAGGACAGTACACAGTAGTACAAGAGGACAGTACACAGTACAAGAGGACAGTACACAGTAGTACAAGAGGACAGTACACAGTACAAGAGGACAGTACACAGTAGTACAAGAGGACAGTACACAGTAGTACAAGAGGACAGTACACAGTAGTACAAGAGTACACAGTACACAGTACACA